GCAAGAGTGCTTACCACGCAGGCAGATTCTGGAAAGCTTTGAGAGCTTTAGAAAAGCGAGTTAACCCAGCACCATGGCTACTGTATGGAGCTGATGTCATCTGGCTGTGCATAAAAGCCTCCACTTTTTCTTCTTTTGTGCAGTCCCAGAATGACATCACCTCAAAGCACAAGAACGTACCTTTGTGCTGCAGCACTTCCCCTGCTGGCTCCTGCCACACATCTCACTCCTCCCGCATATGTCCCTCCTTTGCCCAGAAACACTCCTTGACCTCCGCTGAATGCACAACATCACTGTCTAGTCAACGAGAGCCTTTTGGGAGCCCGCAAACGCCAGCAGTCTGTGGTAGCGCAGAGGAGCTCCTATTCAAACAATGTATAGCATGCCATACACCTCAGCAACCCATGGTGGGGCCTCTGCAGCTGATTTCAGCTGCTTTACAATGCTGTCAAAGCTGAATGGTGTGAACTGATTAAACAGACAGGGCAACTGTGGCAATTAAATTATTTTCGAGGTTGGATCCTCTTTGATGGAATGTACAATGGCACGATTTAATCTTGTTACACTCCAAGATTGCTGTTAAATAAGCAGAGTGAAAAAGTTGCATTTGTATCCTCACTTACGAAGAAACTGCAAACATAGTTTGCAGTTGTACAGTCATTAACAGATTTGTTTATAATTGGCGTGCATGCTTGCCTATTTAATGAGGCCTGTGACAGTCTTGTGACATGCAAGAACAAGAGAAAAAACACCCAAGGCACATCCTGGCCAATGTTATTTCATGCAGTGAAGGAGGGTGGGGGGCAGCTGGAAGTGAACTCGCTACCCAAGAAAACAAGCACCATTAAATAAAACTAGAGAGAAGCCTGCACAGTCTATAGGAATGGGGCAAACTGAGGGCTGACTGTTTCCCATTAGAAAGCCCAAGTCACCCACGGTTCCCCTGTAATAGCATACATCTCCTGTTCAGTACAGAAATTCTGCAGATGCCCCTCGTCCCTGTGCCTGTTCCTGCAAACGAAAGCATATTTCACTAACACCTGTCAGTCTCTGATCAGATGATCTTCGAAGGTGTGCATGTGCAGAAACATCCACTGGGAAAGTATTTGAGGAATTATGAGGAAATGCAATGTTTTTAGAGCTGTGACGGGTTATTTCTACTTAGCTGACATAGGGTGGCATAAGCTGGAACTCCATTACACATACAGGGAAGAAGGAAACAAGCCTTCCCAGAGAAAACCTGGTTAACTTACCATTAACATGCCACAGCATCTGGAACCCACTTCTAGCGTTCAGTCCATCAGAATAAAACACCACATGAAGGCTGGTGCCTGTAGTGCTCCCTGCCAGTGGAAGAGACTGTCCACAGAAAGTGCCTATCAGGTTGGATTGCACATCAGGCCCATCATAAAGCTGAAATAAAACAAAAAATACCCCAGTGAGTAAAAAGCAGCTCCCCAATTCTTAATGTTTTGTACAGGATGTCAAAGAAAAAGCAGTGAGACTTCTCGCACTGGCCACCTTTGCACAACAATATGAGCACTGGGGAGCATGGAAAGATTTGGATGAAACGATGAGCAAATATAACTGCAATATGTCTTTAAACCTGGCTGGACACTGTGTACAGTAGGAAGGTTTTGCTCTTTCTGTTTTGGTGTGTATTGGGGGTTGCTGGGGAAGAAGATAAAGGGCAAATGGCAATGAACTGAAATAGAAAAAAAAAGGGGATGTCACAGATCTGATTTGACTGTGCATCTAACATGCTTAGTGCTTCCAAACCCCTCGGTGACAACTCTGTTTACATCTTCATTTCTTTAAGACTGCACTCAGGTGATTTCAGGACTGACTGAACTTGTGATGGAGAAAACCAAGCAGTCAAGCATTACCAGGGCCTCCCAGAGTAGTGAGGACAAACTGAAAACCAAAAGCAAAGCAAATCCCCAAAAAGAACAAGGCAAACTTCACAAGTGTTTATTTATTGTTTTGTGATCTTATACCAGTGTACTGCTTTGGAGGAGAAGTGGACTGAGTCATGCTTTCTGAACTTTTGTACTTAGAAACACTTCATGTTTGATCTCCTAGTCATATTCTACGTGATGGTATTTTGACAGTCAGTGTGTTGGCAGATGTGGCCAACCTGAAAATCTTTCTGTTCCCCAAACACAGATGAGAAATCCTCCATCCTACTCTTAAAACATCACCACTAAAAAAAAAAAACAAACCAAAAAAAACCCCAAACAAATAAAATGCTAAGGAAATATTCTGGTATTTAAATCTTGAAATCTGAACTTAGTCATATACTCACATTTAAATGAAAACACTTAATACATGTTTTGATGGGGCGATAGTGGATGCTTAGAGCTTTTAAGCTGGACATTAGTTGTCTCCAAACAGGCTTAAAGGGTCTTTCAAATCCGAGTTTTGCAACTTTTTTCAAATCCAGTAAATCACACTGAATACATCTATGTTCCTCACAAAATATCCCAATGCTCAGTATCATTTTTCGGGGGTAAGATGTATAATTTTTGGAAAACTGGTAAAAAGGAGACATTTTAGCTAAATTGCCTTTGACTTATGATACCAGATTGCCTGTTGTCAAGTGAGGAGTTGCTTTATTATTTCTACTTTTGTTACTATGATTCTTAAAGTTTAGAAAAACAGCAACCCTTGTGCTTTTTTATCACTTTGCCACAGTTCATCTGATCTTCTGTCTCACAGAGCACATCTTCCTAACACAACAGCAGATTACTGGCACAGAAACCATGTCTGAACATTCTCATTGTGAATTTTTGGCATGCTTCCTTTCAGAATTTCAGCAAAAACTTTTCTCTGTTCTGAAGCCATCACCATAAAGTTCTCTCTGTGCAAAGAATCAAATCTATGATCTCTAGAAAAACAGCTAAGGTTTATTTATCTTTGCTCTCCATTCAAATCTCTTTTCCAAATATCTCTGATTCCAGTAAGAATTCTTCTACACTCAACACCCATAGTATGGAAGTATGATATTACACTAAATTTTGATTAACCATGCTAGCTAATTTTTGCAGTTTTCTAGCAGACTTACATATGGGAATGAGTAATTAAACCTTCAGTTTTTCTGTTCAAGATGTTGGTCTTGCAGAACCTTCAGAAATCTTGATTTAAGACATAGTTGGGGCCAAGAAATCTACTCAAATGGTTTCAAATCCTCAAGCATACAGTCTAGTTTTAATGTCTTTTTTTTAATAAAAAATAAATTGGATGTAGTTCAGCCAGAAGTTAGGGACAAATTGCAGGAATAATTCTATGGTAATATTCCAAGGTTTATTTTATGACTGGTAACCCTGCATCTTTTTAGTTTTCAATCCTCTAATGCAATGAAAGGCTCAGAGCATAAGAACTTGTGTGTTGGAACTTGAGAACTATCACTCCATTTGGTATTATTCCTCTAGATGAAATCAGAAAAGCTTGAAAGTTTCTAATTGCAGACCCATTGCTGGTAGTTCTTGCAAAGCCGTGATCAGATGTATTTCATAATAGGTATGAAATTGTCATAAAGATTAGATGTTAAGAAGTTGAACATCCATCTGTATTCTTCCCAAATGTAAAGCTTGAAGGACTGCCTGACAGACAGATGAGCTGTCCTATGCCCAGCATTACAGTTATGACCTTCCTCCAAGCCAGGCTGAGAGCTTTACATATTCTTTTATGGCTTAAATTCAGCAAAATGAAATAAAGTCAGATCCAATTAGATTTTTTAGTAGTACCACTTCCTTTGACAGCTTTGTGGTATATACTGCTCATATTTCTGTGGCTTCAAGCCATGGAAATCTTACACCAGAAAAATATGAATGGGGAAGAATGAATCAATATGGAGATCATGAATCTGTGCTCTGAATAGAAGCAAAAACTGTGTTAAGATACATATTCAACGATCAGCCGTTAGCTTTAGTGATTACAAATGAAAAACCATTCTAAAGAACTATGGACTAAATCATACCCAGAAACTTTCAAATCCAAACAAAAAAAAACAACCTTTGTGAATCTCCTGCAACTTTGATTCATCAAGGGAGTGTTATTTTTATCTAAGACAGCGAATGTCACATTTCTATGTAATTTCCTCAGAAAACATGCTGTCAGTTTTTCAAGACACAAAGAATGGTTACTATGGCAATCCCTTCATGCCGCGCTGCCCCGTGGGTCTGGGTTCAGAGCAGAGTTTCGCAGGAAATTCGAGTGCCTGGCCAGCTGTAACTCATTGAGAGAGGCAGAGCACGACTGCTAGAATTACAGCGGAGTTTTTCGAGCCGTCTTTCACTTCTAAATGAAGGGAACAGCTGTGTGTTTTCACAAGGCGTTTTGAACTTCTCAAACCCCATTTTGCTCTCAAACAAATACGGGCAAGTGAAACTGAAGCTGAACGCAGATCTCATGAGCCACAATTTCTCTTCTGATCTCTGAGACAGTGTTTCTTGTTTAAGGGCCTGCTTTGTCAGCTGTGCTATCCTAAACTGCTGCAAATCGAGGGAAGGTTCTTCCTCAGGCTATATGAGGCAAGGTACTCCCTTGGTCTATGCAAGACAATTGAATTTTGGGGCAGTTTATTAGCCACTCTGGTACCATACTTACTCTAGAAACTGGGGATTGGGCTCCCCCCAGCTACTCATTGGGAAGAAAGCACTTGCTCCCTTTCTGTGTAGATACTTGTTTTGTAATCTATTTATTTGTTCAGACCTTTTAGAAAAAGGTCTATCAGAAAATCCAAGGGCTTCATAATGATTTTGGCAGACAATCCAACAGGCAAAACATGCAAACAGCTGCAACACATGTTAAGATCCTCAGCACCCCCTCTTTAACTGAAGCAATTGTCCAGCAGCACCCGGAGTGCTCCATTTCATCAGCCTGCACCCCGGCACCAGGCCCAGGCGGGGATGCAGTACATTCAGACAAATTATTAGGAATGCGCTCAATAACTGTTACAAGAAACTCCTTATCAGGCTGCCCAGCAGCAAGCGTATAGGCTGACACAAAAGTAAAAAGGGGAGGTACTAGCTCTCTAAGGGATGAATCAAGCTGTGGGACTGCCCTGCAGCAAAGTGGCAGCTGAAAACCATCTGCTGTACATTGGAGTGGGGCTGGGACAGCAGGACTAGCCTAGGCTGCAGGAAGGGTTCGGCTTGGGTAGCTCTCCCAGAGGAGACACCATGGTCACCAGTATTACATTTTGGCTTTTCTGACTCTTCAGCCTGGAAATACGTCACTGACACCAGTAACGATGCTCTGGAGGCCACAGCTGTTCAACTCTCCTTGGAGGAGCAAAGCAAAGCAGCATGACCTGTGTCACAGAGAAGCTCATTGCCAGAACTGGACAAGGGCTCAAGGACGGACCTGACCGGAAAATGGAGTTTCTGCTGCGTGGAAAGAAATAAAGATCTCAAACAAATGGGAGGAAGAAATCTTTGAACGTGTTCCATTTGGGCATACTCAAAGCAGGGACATTTTTCTAGCCAAGCACCTCGTCAAGCTTATTCCTTCTTGCAAAGTGAGACTGACAGGACCCTTCCAGACAGGTAGTGGGACTCCATCTGTTCAGTTTTCCTGGCAGGAAACTGATTTTTTTTTTAGGGCAAAATTTCAGTTTTCTTTTGGAGAACTTAATTTCTGTGAAAAGGCACATTTTTTCATGAGGAAAATCATTATAAAGGAAAACCCCCAACCTAACCTGCTCTGGAAAAAAACTGCTTGCGTACATTAGTTACGCACAATACGTAGTCTCGAACCAGAGATGATGGAGTCTTCAAAGACAAACTTTCAGTTTCATATGAGGGGAAAATCCGTCCTATGAATACTGACAGTTCTGATTTTTATAGTACTGTGAATAATTCTGTTATCAGATGTCACTAATTCATTATATAATTATGAGTAATTATATCAATAATTGTCTCAATTTGAGTCTTGAAACAAATTGTTTGCAGTCCAAAAGCCTTTTTACAGGAAGCAGCAGCAACAGCCCTGGGCTGTATTTGCAGAACTCAGGAAAGGAGGTTGCGCCTTGGATCAGACCAGCATAGCTGCGAGTGCCCCACCCATTGCCAGTGGGGACATCCTCCAAGAGCTATTCTGACACACACAAGTATCCCTTTCCTCTTGCAAGTGGAAAACCTGATATGGGATTGTTTTGACTGATCTAAACACTAGAGGCAGTGACTACAGGTATCTGAGCAGCTCTTTCTGAACGGTTTGTTTTTTGAAAAGGAAATTCTGATGGCATCGCAACAAATATGTTACCAGAAAACAAAATGAAGCAAAAAACAGACAATATAATCATCATCCAAGTAAAAGAATGCACTCCAAAGTGAGATCACCATTAATTGTTAAAGCAAGAATTAATACCAATAAAAATAATCCAATTCCAAGCAACACATTTCCTTCTA